TCCACTTTCCTCTAATTTTTTATAACTAAATAAATAAAATTTTCTCTTCTCTTTTTTTATTTTCCATTCCTTTCAATTTAAACATATTATTAATAAATAAGTTTAGAAAATGATTTATTAAAAATATTAAAATAATTTCAATATCTAAATTATATAAAAAAATATTATACTAAAAAGTACTTTTTTGTTTTAAATACGAGACTCCCAAGTTAAAGTACCCATTAAATGCATCTAGCGCGTGTTAAAATGGGCAGGAAAATGAAAGAAAGATGCATTAAAAGAGAGCTAACTCGTCTCCAAATTTGAACTGGAGAAAGTTCCCCATCACTTACAAGTTAGGGTCCCTTTCAGAGAGGCAGAAAACCGCGTGTTAATTTGTACAGGAAAATGAGAGGAAGAAGGATCAAGAAAGAGACACAACATTTGTCTTAAATTATCCACACCGCCTTTTATTACTACAAGGGCTTGATGCTCTGAACAAAATTTTGCATTGGATGGACCTTCAAAGCATCTTATGAATTAAAATCAATGGAGTATAAGTAATTTCAGTTGACCATAGGACGAACTAGAAATGGTTCAATTGTCCTTACCACAAATAAATAGCATAAAATTTTCCAAAATGCATGGGGCTTTCTGGGTTTCAATTGTATCCATACCACGACGATTTGTTTTGTTCACAGTTTTTATTACAAGATGAGGATGTCTCGAGACTTTTGGATTTAGTCCTACTTTGGCGTAAATGTCCTGCCACACGTGGATGATTCCAAGTTTGCCTACCGTGCATTTTTCAAAACCTTGTATGAAGTCGGCACAGATACATGACATTATTCGAGATAGGATAGGGCATAGGTTTGATAAATGGGTTGGGTGAATTGAATTCGGATTGTGTCACCTCGAATTTAGAAGGTTGGATCATTGCAAGATTGGATTAGAAGGATAGAGCCATATTTTACTCATAAATCTTGGATTAAGTAGAGTGAATTTAATTTTTATTAAAAATTT